TATATATGTGTGTGTGTGTGTGTGTGTATGTATGTACTATATATATATTTATATATATGTGTGTGTGCGTGAGTGTGTGTATGCTTTATACATATATATGTATGTATGTATCTATATATGTATGTATCTATATATTAATATATATGTGTGTGCTTGTTTTATTTATATATATATATGTGTGTGTGTGTGTGTGAAAGAGAGAGAGAGAGAGAGACGTACCCATGTTATTTACATATATATATGTGTGTGTATGTGTGTGTGTATATATATATGTGTGTGTGTGTGTGTGTATACGCGTGTATTTGTGCGGGTACGTGTGTGTCTATTTTTGTGCGTACAAGTATGTGTATTGATACGTATAAGATAAAGTAACGAAAATCAATGTATAAACACACATAATCATATATATATGTGCCTGTGAACACACGCATACACACACCTACATATATGTTTGTATGTATATGTATGTATGTATGTATATGCGTGTGTGTGTGTGTTTTTGCGTGCGCGTCTCTGTGTGTCATATATATATATATATATATATGTTTGTGTGTAAGTGTTTGTCTTTATATATTTATAAATGTATATTTATATAGATGTATATTTATTCATGTATATATATATGTATATATGCCTATATCTATATGTTCTCCGGATCCATACATCTGTATATATTATTTATAAATACCTAACTCTATCTATCTATATATATACATATGTATTGTGTGTGTGTGTGTGTGTGTGCATATTTATAATATATATGTATTTACATATGTATATATATATATATATATTATGCATGTGTGTGTGTGTGTGCGTGTATGTATGATGCATGTGGTATATTTATATGTAATTGTAGATGTTTATTGGTAGTTTTCCTTGTGAAACTATTCATCAGTATATCCATTTTTATATATCAATCGAAGGCAGATTAATCTGTATGGTTGTGCATTCAGAGTGTAGATTTCAAACTTCATTGTGGACCTGATCTATGCTGAACGAGATAGTATATAGTATGCGCCTATTGTTTCAATACATTGTAGTGTGGTGAACTTGCGTGATCAAGTCAAAATTACACTCTAGTTCACCCAGAGATGTCATTTGGGCTGGATGAGATTATATGTATTATGTGCCTTTTGTTTTAATACATTATGGTTTGGCGAACTCTCGTGATCAGTTAAAATAGCATGCAGATATGATGCCGAGAGCTATTAGCTGCTGAGGAATAGATTCCGCTTGCTCAGTTCATTTTTTTAATTATACTTAGCCGCTGCAAGAATTATCTAATACGCTCAAATATTTATATTTGTGCATTTGTGCTCTTCTCGATATCGATTGTATATATCTGTACAGCCGCCACCCGCTCTGTCGGGATTGCCACGGCAACATCAGCCGTCGATGACTGACAACGAACTGCTGCAGCTGTTAGGGGGGCCACCATTAATCAACCGTAACTTCAGCCACGATCGACATAGCGGCACGAACAACAACAGCAACAACACCAATCATCACAATAGTATAAGCAACAAGAATAATAATAATAATAACAATGGTTTGGGGGCATATTTCGGTCATCACCCTTCTATAGATCAGAGCCAGCAGCAGTTTCAGCAACTACACCAGCAGACAGAGCAGGCCTGGATGAATCAGAACCAATTTCTCCAAAACCAGAACGTATGTCAGTCTATAGCATACTCTTCCGATATTTTTTCTGCTCTTTTTTATTTGAATGTATCAACTGCCCGAATGTATGTCACCACTAATTCTTGAGACAGCGATACGCAGTTCGATTCAGCTTCACCGTATTTTGATGACTTACCTATCATTGTATGAGATTGCACACCATAGTTATGGGGCCTGATAAAAGCTGCAACTTAGAATCAACTCATTAACACTTCTCGTTATCGGTCACAGAATCTACGGCAAAATTCGGGACTCTTTGATACTCTACAGCAGCAGCCATCTCAGGGATACTCCCTAGATCTCAAAAGTCCGGGTACGCGCAATGCATCGGGCTTGGCAAGTATGCCTCAGAATACACATGCTAGCACCGGATTTGACAATATGTCGTCGAACACAAACAACAATTTGGTAAGTAACGGTGAATACGACATGGTGCGCGAGCGTATGCCTTAGACTACCATTGATTGCACATATTGTACGGCTTTATGCCGATATGTCGATGGGAGTTGCCCAACTAGTCTTATTGTGCTTGTCGTCTTAGAATATGTGTGAGCCTTAATATTTGAGGACCTGTAGGAGTGACGGTGGGTAAGTGTAAATGCAAGTGTCAGTATGCGTCATCAGCAACATGTGCTTACAAACAATGAAGAATTTGTATTGACCAATGTATGAGCGCCAATGTGCGGTGTGCATGAACGGTAGAACGTATACGGACATTATGGAATTGACAATTGGTAGTGCGTTTATAAATTTCTATTTGCATATGTCGGCTTTAGAACTGTTCCTTCAGAGTGCGTCATTTGGTGGTTCGATGGGAAGTTTTCCTAAACATGCACACCCGACTTTCTGGGGATCGTCACACGGCACAAGCCCACAGATACACCTGGTAGCGACGGAATCCATCGCCCTCCCATATACTTCTAGTGCCAATGGCTTCTTATTGATCACATATCTGCACAGCATCATAGTTCGTTGGGTGGATTACAAACATCTCAACTTGACAGCCCTCATGGGTTGTATACTGGTCACCAGGCGATGTCTGAATCTTCGCCGTCTGTTCAGCCGCCGATTTCTGACGTAATCCGACGCTCGCTAGCGAGCCCGCGATCAGTCTCCGCCGCACCCAAGGAAACGCAGGCTCAGAAGGTAATCGACAGGCTATTCAAAAGTTGTTCAAATTTTTAGTAGCGTATTAGTCTGTTGGTCTTACTATCAGATGCTGTTTTTGGGTCACGACCCTGTGGTTACGTGTCAAGATTTCCCAGGTTTTGGATTGCTTATACGAATATTGTAAACATATCCCTGGTGTCTTTGGCTGTTCACTCAACCTAGTGGCGATTCCAGGTCCCTAGTGCTTGTGGATACCTGACCTGTAGCTCGTATTTGGGCACTTGTGTTAATTTTTGCCTACCATATTTACGTTTTGTGAAATCGCTCAAATCTGACAATTTGTTACGCCAACTGTGCATGTCACCAGTGCACTGTGCAGTTGACGATCTCTGTATGGGTATACTCGATTGAGAGGTCGCATATCATTGATTTGCGCATTTTCGTTCTATTCAAATCTAGACACAGTTGAGCTGGAAGGTATATGAAGCGAATAGTCTTGCCGCCTCGAAAGCACAATCCGCCCCGCCCACCGATGCCGTCCCCAAGAAGAAAACAGCCAATAGAACACCAAGCGGTTCCGTTAAGGGCAAGGATAAGAAAAAGCCAAACGACAAGAAGCCATACATTTTTGACTACTGGAGTCATTCCAAGGAACTCAGACTGTACCTGGCGAAATTCATGTCGGATGAAATGGTATGTGTATTTGTTCTGTACATGTATACGTCCGTGTCGCAAGAGTCGACCTCGCCACTCCAGAATTGCCAAGTATACGCTATCGAAGATTTATTTGTATATGTGAACATTCTTGCGTGGTATGATATATGTGTGTGGTGCAAATGGTCATGCGAATGTGCGAGTCCATTGTAATTGAAGCATAGCGGTATATCGTAGTTGATAGTTATGCATTTCAATTAACGGTTTCCAAACTAGAATGTGTCGCAATTCTTTTGTACACGAATTGGTGAACACATCTATATTTGTCGCGTATGCCGTTATAAACAATCAGCTAGCTACAATAGCTGGTCTTTTATAAGGCCGTAAAAAGTCAAAGAATGCGCAACTACTGAGATCAGATATCGTGTATAAAGATATTGTGAATCCTTTTGATCGATTTGAGTGTCAATCAATTGTTACTTGTGTTTTAGCTCCACTGTCGTGGACTCCCGCATACATCAGTCCTATACTCGCTGGTGACTAGTTTTCCACAGTGTGATGTCTTGAGTGTTTCCTATATATGTTCCTGTATCGTCTTGCGATTTTTCACAGTCACGCCTACTTCGTCTGGGCGTATTTGCAGTCCGTCGTAGTGATTTGACATGTTTCTACTTCACAGGCCATGATTTGAAATGTAGACAATATGTCTGCACTGCGTGGTTTAGATTGGCGTGAAAAGAGCGCTCTACACAATCGATCGGAGTTTAGCAGCTCTATCTGATTTCTATCATGAACCGTCTTCATTCTTAATGTCTTAAATAGATTGATGATCTGGAAGAAATGGCAAAATGTATCTACGAGCAACAGCTCGAGGCCATGTTACCGATGGACTACAAGGTTTGTTTACGAGGCATCATTTGCATGCACTGACGGTACCAAAGCTAATTGAGTTCCGTGCCGAAAGTTTTGCACATTGAATGGTTATCTGCCAGCTCTGGCAAAAGATAAGAGAATTTCGGAGGCCTTTTTTATTTGATCTTCCATTCATCGATTTCACCTTTTCGAAAAACGCCGCTTTCAACTTCAGGATGCATCTCTGTTCATTTTGCTCAGGATATGTTGTACTTCGAGGATGTTATAGTGAGGATGACCCGATTCCACGAAGTGTTCCTGGATTCGATAGTGTTGCCTGGCATTGTATATAGGCGCACCGGTATGTCATAGTAGAGACTTGTATTGCATCATATTTTAGTTTATATTTGATCCGCGCCATCTGCCGGACATTCTTGTTCGAAACATGACTGGAGAGTCTCGCACAGCGCCATATATTGTGTGCTGTCTTTTCATCAGTGATCGGAATAGCTGATCAAATATGTGCTTATGCAAATCTGATAGCTTCAGATCGAATGGATTTGTATGGACCTTTGAAATGGGTCACTTCCGTGGAGTGTCATGAAAGTATGCTCGCGCTTGTTAACGAGTCGCTATGACGTTCGCTAGCCCTAAGAGGTCAATTTAAAACCTGTTTGCTGCGCCCATCTCGTATTCATCACTGACATATATGCATCACACCACATACTCTTTGTGTGCACTGGCGCTTTTCCATCACAGGGTGTATTCTGGGAATGAACGAAGCCTTCAGCGAGATGTTAAAGAGGCCTAGGTCCGAGTTGGTGGATAGCAACATTGTGTATTACATCTCACCAGACGATTTATTCGAGGCCGTCAAAAACTTTGTACTCAAACTAGCATTCCCAGGTCGACCCCAGTCGGTGATTCACGATGTATGCTTTCTACGCCCATCTAACGAGAGAGTGTACGCACGCTCGCATGTGCACATGCAAAGGAATATGCACAACATGCCAGCCGTATTTGTTGCCATATTCATGCCGTACGCGCACAACAACTGGTCTATCCCACATGTGGGTGTCATCGATTAAATTTGAGGCTGTGTTTTCAAATAGACAGTACTGGAATTCGATATTTACAATTCCTGAAAGAGCTTAAACTTTTCATGACCACGCGAGATCGCTGTGGTCGTACGTAATTGGTTTAGAATTTTACAAAACGTACAGGCTGTAAGTGTGTATTAGCTAGCACCTGTAAGTGCGTACAATTTTGGTGCTAGCACTATCGTCCTTAACTAAGCCATCGCGACCGTCGAAAACGTTTAGCTGTGTGCGTTTTCAATATATCAATTAGTTCGACCCAGTGAAACGCATGCACCTGCACTTGCAGGCCATAGCCTACTACTGCTCATAGTGGGCACCGATCTCGTCTGTCTTTGGCGTTGAACAACATATCCAATTGATCACAATCAGCATGTGCCAGCTACGTCGTATACTTTCGCATATTAACAAGGCCGCCCGCTGCTAGAGTCCTTGTGTGTCGATTGTATTAATTGTTATATCCGTACATCTGTTGTCCACTCTTAATTCGCGGTGTCTATAGGCTCACAAATTTTATCGTGATTGCGAATTGTGATCGCTTTCCAAGAATTTGATACCAAAAATCCCTTTTATACATGCACATGACTACAGAAAGCAAATACGTATGGTGACTCCTTGCACCGACTTGCGTGTTGTAGGCAAATATATGATCCTCAATTGGATAGGGAACGCCTCAACAAATTAGGATAGTCCAGAATGTGTTCAGTAACTATTGGGAACGTCATTCTAGGTTATCAGCTGTCTTTTTGGTCAAAATTCATGTCCAAAACTGCAACGGAGTATTTATATCCGATCAAGCAAATAAGACCCAGGATCTAAAGAGATTGCTGCAGAACTGCTATTCCATATCGGAATAGTATATTATGATATCTCATTCTCAAACAGCACAAGTTAATTAAAAGTTGGTTTGATTTTGCACCACGATTCAGGTAGATAATAGAGGCTTCGAGATCTAAATAACCAGCCTAAATCCAATTCGAATCTCATTGAATATATTAACATGCCACATGCGTATTCAATGGTATGAGTTTACTAGTCCGTCTATTATACCACATAGCCTCCAAAATTCAAATTTGACAAATATTAATAATAAAAATGCTGTATCCTTCCCATTTTACCAAGAAACCAAAGAACACCGTATAGTGTACCATATAAATATACGTGTAAATTCAGAAACCCGCCCGATCTCAAAATATTACAAATTCACCAATCAATATGAATTAGTCCCTCAAAGGCCAATGGACTTCCACCATAAAAACTCCATATGAAATTTTACATTTCACTTAGTTCTTCCTTGAATCCCTGTTGGAGTGTTGGGGAATAAAAATAATAAGTAAAAATCACCTACATATGTATTTACTGAGCTCAGCTTATCCCAGCTCTGCGGGGTAGTCTATGTTCCAAGTTATTTATCTTTTTAGGGATATACTGATGTCTGTTACATGATGATCCAGCTAATGCATCGCTTCATCACAATAGGCCACTGCGTACTTCTGGGCACTTTTGTTCATCGATCGCAAATCTTTACGTCGTAAGCTGTGGTGAATTGGGTATCAACTGGCGATAAGGTAGGAGTGTACCCCATTGCATATGAGAACTATTACTTAAAAGTGTTGCGTCCCGCTTCAATTGAACATCACATCTTAATGAGTTGCATGACTAACTATGTTGTCGCCAAGTCGGAAATATATAAGCCTCGTTTCGGTGAGCGTCCGTCACATTGGGCTGTTTTTGGCATTTGTGTAGTATGCATATACTTAAAAGAAGCGCATCCTACTCCGACGTTTTGTAGACGCCTGTCATGTTCTTCGTATTGCCCATATCCCTTGATGAGTAGGATATAGTGGGATATTAAGGAGCTAGAAAGACACTTGAGAATAACCTTCTTG